GGTGCACCTCGAGGGCCCAGCTGGAGTGGTCAGGAAGTCTGTGCCACTGGATCCTATAAGACACCTACAACAATAGGCGACCCTACGAAGCCTAGGAGACATAGCAACTCTAATACATAGAAACAATCACAGGGAAGCAGCCAAAATGAAGAGACAAAAGAAAACATGTCCCAAATGAAAAAAAAAAAAAAAGAACAAAACTCCAGGAAAAGAATTAAATAAAATGGAAATAAGCAATCAATTAAATGCAGAGTTCAAAACACAGGTTATAAGGTTGCTCAAATATCTTGGTGAGACATTCAACGAACTTAGTGAGACCTTCAAGTAACTTAACAAGACCTCCAAGGAACTTACTGAAAACATCATCAACAACAAAAAGAGGACGAGTCATGAGTGAAGGATGCACTAACTGAAATAAAAATCCTTTACAGGGAATCAATAGTATAGTAGGTAAAGTCAACAAGCAAACCATTGATTTGGAATATAAGGAAGCAAAAAACACCCAATTAGAACAGCAAAAAGAAAAAAAATGAGGTCAGTGTAAGGAGCCTTTGGGACAACTTCAGGCATGTCAACTTCGCATCATAGGGGTACCAGGAGAAGAGAGAGAACAAGAAACTGAAAACCTCTTTAAAACAATAATGACAGAAAACTTCCCTAACTTGGTGAAGGAAACAGACACAGAGAGTTCCAAACAAGATAAACCCAAAGAGGTCCACACCAAACCACATCATCATCAAAATGCCAAAGATTAAATACAAAGAGAGAATCTTAAAAATAGCAAGAGAAAAGCAATGTGTTACCTACAAAGGAGCTCCCATAAGACTGTCAGCTGATTTCTCAAAAGAAAATTGATAGGCCAGAAAGGAGTGGCAAGAGATATTCAAAGTATGAAAAGCACAAACTATGCAGGGATTACTCTATCCTGCAAAGCTATCATTTAGAATCGATGGACGTATCAAGAGTTTCCCAGACAAGAAAAAGCTAAAGGAGTTCATCACCACCAAACCAGTATTATGTGAAATGTTGAAAGGTCTTCTTAAAGGAGAAGAAGAACAAATACGAACAGAAAAAAGGGAATTAATACATATGTATCAACAATTGAATGTAAAAGCGAAATGAGCAAGCAGAACAGAAACAGACCCTTAGATACAGAGAACTTTATGTTGCTTGCCAGATGGGTGGGAGCTGGGGGGATTGGTGAAAAAGATGAAGGAATTAACAAGTACAAATTTGTTGTTAGACTGATGAACCTCAAAGGGTAGGGGGGTGGTGGGAGGGTGGGATGAGATAAACCAAAGAACTTTTATGCAAATATGCATAACCAGTGGACACTGACAATAGTGTGGGGAAGGCAGAAGGGGAGCAGGATTGGGGAGGAGGGGTCAATGGGGGGAAAAGGGGAGACATCTGTAATACATTCAACAATAAAGATGGGTTTTTAAATAAATAAATCTTTGAAATATATCATTATTATTATTAGTAGTAATATATTAGCAGAAGTAATGGAAAGCATAGTAAAAAATGAATGAAAGGTAGAAGAATATAATTTTTACTGATTGTGTATTCCAAAGAAGTCTATTCTGACACCTGCAGCTATTGTACCCACCCCTTCCCACCCAGCTCTACACTCCTCTATGAGAGACAAGGTTATTTAGCCACCTGGAAGCTTTTGAGATTGACCCTGGGGAATGTCAAATTTTCCCCTAATTTGTCCCTTAGAGGAGAGAGTGAGATGCACCACTTTCCTTTGATCCTGCATCATCTAAAGAGAAACTCCCAGGAAAGAATCTGTGATTCTGGATATTCCCTGAAGAACATTCAGAGACATTTATATCCTTATTGACAAAGGAGCAGGGGGGCATGTTGCTGCAGAGACTCTGAGGAGTGGTTTTGTGAGCGCAGGCACGGTAAGTGCTAAGACTATTGAAAGGGCATTATCCAATCCAAACTGCTAACCTGCCTGTTACTCTGTTACTGTTGCCCAACACTTTCCTTAAATCCTAGCTCTTCTGGACCCAGATTTGCCCTAGTCTTTCAGGGTTAAATTTTCTCAGCATATGGGATAAAAATACATATTTTTAGAACTTCACGATATCAGTGAACACATCTAGAAAGAACATTAGAAAGAATATAGTTCACCTAACAGATGAAGATACTGATATTATCTAAGGTCTTCCAAACACCAGAATTTTGTTGAATCTCAAAGAATTGCGGGCTCCTGGGGTGTAACAGAGAAACTAACTGCTTTTGTTGCAGGACTAAATTGAATTCAAGTTCCTCTTTACTATACAAGGAATATTTGTAGGTTGAGCTCCATGGCACTGCTTATTATCTGTCATTCTAGGACATTTTAAAATGCCCTGTCAGAAGGAAGAATAACGTTTCATTCACCTTTACATAGCCCTTGAACCTGTGCCAGTGATTGGCATATAGCAGAAGATCAACCAGGACATGAATGCTGGTAGAATAAACATATGAATGATGAATGGTGATGCAGCCTTACTAGTGAGAACAAAGGGCCCCACCCAGAGCAACAAAGTAGCCACTCTATTTGCCCTTTATAAGCCACTTAGCACTGAACTTTTCTTGCCTTTTCTCATAGCCTCCATAATCTTTTCCTTTGTTGATATGTTTCCCTAATGACTACTTAGCATGGCCATTCTCTGGTACTTTAGGCTGAGAAAAGACAACATCAGAAAAGACAGAGAAGTGGTTGGCAGCTCTAGTCAGAGAACACTCAGATCTCTCACATCTTTTCCCATGCAGGCTCTGCCCTACTGCTAAACTCTATTGCTTCTTCCAAAGCTCATCTTTGCCATCCTTCTTCCTCAAGGCTTAAGGCACATGGCAAGAGGCATCCTCTATAAAGTCATTTTCCCAGCTTGCAATGCATTTTTTTTTATCTGTTTTTGACCTGACAGACAAACAAACAAACAAAACCACATCAGCTCTCTCATCTCATATCCTGCATAGTTCTAAATATGTAGTGGTATTCAGAGCAGGAAACAAGCAAAATGACTGAAAAATTCTGAAATAAATTTCCCACTGTGGTATAAAACATAACAGTGGGCTTCAAACCTACAGACCAGGCATCCAGTTTTTTGTTTTGGATCCTAGCTGTGTGAATTTGGACAAGTTATCTCTCCTCTGTGGTTCTCAATTTATTTCCCTATAGAACAGCAATAATAATCTCTACATAGGTAGAAGTAAATGAAATAAAATATGTAAAATGCCTAGTCTCATGAACATTACATGGGATCCCTTCAATAACACTGTTTCATTTATCCTGTATGATTCCTCCTGAGGAACTTTAGTCTACTTGAGGGAGATCATGCTTCTTTATATAGAACTATTTCAAATGCAAGCAGGATGTGTTAGAAGTCACTGAAGAGGAAAACATAAAGCATTCTTAAGGATCAGAAGAGAGAGTGTTTACTTCTGGCATTGAGGATTGATGTGACTTCTGTGATGATGGAACATTAAATGGACATTGGCAACTAGGATTCCAACAGAAAGAGATGAAGAATTTGAAAGAAAAAAAATGACATGAGCAAAAATAGAAATGCAAGAAAATAGTCCTATTTGATTGAGCTCATAAGTATGTAGAAACATATTTGGCTCTAAAATTTAATTAGAACAAGATAGAAAAGACAAGAAATATCAGGCTAAGATCTTTAGTCTTGATCCTTAAATTTATTTGAAAAGATGAGAGACTGCTTTTTTTATCCACTCATCTAGTGATGGCCCTACAATGTGGTGATGGTCAGAGTAAGGAGGGGGAAGGAGCTGGGTAGAGGTGTGCAGAGGTGTGTGTGTGTGTGTGTGTGTGTGTGTGTGTGTGTGTGTGGCGGGGATGGTGGTAGGGCATGTGTAATAGTGTTAACAGTAAAAATAAAGTAAACGTTTTTTTTTTTCTTAAATGAAGAAGGACAGTAAAAGCCACTTTAGGAATGTTCATCTATAGAATGACTTGTGGGAGGTAAGAAGACCTGTGAAAAAGATGTTGAAATAGTGAAGGTAAGAGGTAATGTATCCTGCTATCACTTTAATTAGCCTTAAAAAAAAAAACAACAACAACTTTTGCTGCTCTTCTCCCAAAATAGATGCTATCATAATTTCTCTCGTAGCTGCTTTTGTGATACTTCTTTCCCAAGATAGCTATAGTTACATAGAAGTGATTTTCAACATTTACAATGATTTCCTTTTTTGGGGTGTTAGGCGTGACCTTCCTAAGACGGATGGAACACACAGGGGAGAATTTATATGCTTGTTCAAATTCAACAGCCATTAATTAGGTTCAAGGTGGTTCTGGAGAGATTCTTGGTATCAACATCTATTACTATGAACCATTGAGAGTGGAGGAGAATGGGAATTATAAGGAAATTAAGAGAAGAAGAATATTTCCTGATGACTGAGTACTTATTATCTAATGAGATACAAACATGTTACTATGAAATCAATGAAAAAAGGTAGAGACATAAAGATGAATACTTTACCCAGCCTCAGATTAGATAACAGGGCTTCTGATTGTGTTTTCATATTTTTTTAAGAATTGTTTTTCAGAAAAACAAGAGTAGAGAATAGCTGGAAAAAAAAGATACACATTTTAAAGCTAAACAGAAAAATAGTGAAGAGACGAACTAAGAAATTAAATAAGTGACTGGACCTCTGGAAAATATATCCAGAGAATTAAATTTGTCACTGTTTTTATTTGTTTGTTTGGTTGAGTGTGTGTGTGTCTGTGTGTGTGTTTTGTTTTCTGTATCAATTGAAGATGTTTACAAAAAGATTCAGTTAGGGGTCCAAAACCAAATATTTCAGCTTTTTTTTTTTATCATGGACGTACAGCCGAGAGCTATTTGTAAGCGACCTGTTTAGGGTCCCAGAATCAGCTTACATAACTGATTACAAAAAAAAGAGTGAATCCATTTTCAATGAATAACCACCATCCCTATTCCAGGAGTTTTTTGTCACCTTTCTTCCTTCCATAGATTACACGGTCCATGGCCAGTGGGAATCAGACAATGGTCACTGAGTTTCTCTTCTCTGTGTTTCTTCATCTGCATGGAAGTAGTTTATTGTTCTTTATTCCATTGCTCCTCATCTATGGATTTATCATAACTGGGAACCTAGTGACATTTATTGTCATCCAGCTGGATATAGCCCTGCACACCCCCATGTATTTCTTCATTAGTGTCCTCTCCTTCCTGGAGATCTGGTATACCACAACCACCATCCCCAAGATGCTCTCCAGCCTGGTCAGTGAGCAGAAGACCATCACTCTGGGAGGCTGCCTCATGCAAATGTACTTCTTCCACTCTATTGGTATCACAGAAGGTTTTGTCCTGACACTGATGGCCATTGACAGGTACATAGCTATCTGCAATCCCCTCCGATATTCAACTATCATGACTTTCAATCTTTGTATCCAGCTGACAGCTGGATCCTGTCTTTGTGGCTTCCTCTTTGTACTTCCTGAGATTGCATGGATTGGCACACTGCCGTTTTGTGGCTCCAATGAGATCCAGCAGATCTTCTGTGACTTCACACCTGTGCTGAGCTTGGCCTGTACAGATACCTCCTTGGTGGTCATTGTGGACGCCATACATGCAGCGGAGATTGTGGCCTCCTTCCTGGTCATTGCCCTATCATACATCAAGATCATCATGGTGATCCTGCGGATACCCTCAGCTGAGGGTCGTCACAAGGCCTTTTCCACCTGCGCTGCCCACCTTGCAGTGTTCTTGCTGTTTTTTGGTAGTGTCGCTGTCATGTATTTGCGCTTCTCAGCCACCTACTCCGTGTTTTGGGACACAGTCATTGCTGTCACTTTTGTTATCCTTGCTCCCTTCCTCAATCCCATTATCTATAGCTTGAGAAACAAAGACATAAAAACTGCTATTGAGAAGCTTTTCTGCTATCAGAAGGGAGCGGTTAGGGTTGAGAGGTAGATCTGGATCCTAGAGAGTCTGAAAACCCTTCTGGAAGTTTGGCATTTCACTGTTCCATGACTTGTTTGTGATTATGCTCTTTCTAGTGCCATTCTTTCCTGTTCTATTATTATAAGTAAAAATGAAAAACTACTGTGTCCAGGTCATTGTTGAAAATTGCATAGCCCATTTACATCAATGCCCTTACCGTGTATATGTTAACTGAAGCAGTGTATATGGTACTCCTGCTTTTATAGCACAGGTTAGCTTCTTCTACTACTCTTCCAGCTGGGCTTCTAATTCTCTTCTGTGGTCCCATTTGCTGGTGAGACCAGAGAACAGGATAGAGGAGACATTAAAGACATCCTAGTTCTGAAAATTGCTAATGTTAACTTTCCTCTGATTTTCTTTTCAATGATAAATCTTCTGTTGCTCATCATTTCATGTTAACAAAACATTTCCTTAGTCTATATAGGAACAATCTTAACTTTTAGCTTATTGAGCCTATAATTTCAATTCAACAGCCATGGACTGATCATGTACACCATGCTTTATAGAATTTTAGGCCCGACGAAATGATATATAGTTATTAACAATAATAGTACACTATTTCTCTAGAAATTTACTATTTTAAAGTGTCACATATTGAATTCTTTTGAAATTTAAAATATTCTAAAGTAATTAGGTCAGACAGCACTTTTATTTAAATGCTGGAACTGGAGCTCAGAGAAGTTTAAAGACTTACCTAAAGCCATGTATGCAGTGACACAGCTGGGTTTTAACCTGAGGGCTCTACTTCATTCTACGTCCCCAATAAATACATACTTTTTTTCAAGAAGTGTAATTAAACAAAGTTTTCCCCCAAAGGTTGCATTTCTTTTTTTTATTTTTTATTGATTTATGAGAGAGAGGAAGGGAGAGAGAAATAGAAACATCAATGAGAGAGAACAATGATTAGGCGTTTCCTGCATGCTCCTCACTGGGGATTGGGCCCACAACCTGGGCATGTGCCTTGACTGGGATTCAAACAAAGCAGTTCTTGGAGCATGGGTCAATTTTCAACCACTGAGACACACCGGCTGGGTGTGGGTTTTATTTTTGATGTGTCACAGTAGTCATTGGCTCTTTCCTCTGTGAATTTTTCATTCCTCAGGTGATTATGCCATTATGGAAAGACAATTGGACTTTGTTGTTGAAGGACCAGATTTTGCACCTTTTCTTGCCACTAAGTTGTGTCATTTCCTCGGCTGTAAAATAATGAGGTTGGATTAGATCAATGGTTCTCCAAACTGATTGATCATCAGCATTCATGGATCAGAAAATCTCAAAGTAAAGTCCATGCATTTGCATTTCTGCAAAGCTCTCAATAAAATTCTGATAATGGGTCAGATTTGGTAACAGTTGTATTAGATGATCCCTAAAATCATTTCTAGTCCTAGAGTTCTTTGAGATTCATGAGTTAAGATTTCTGAACAATATCCTAGTTTATGTTAAGAACCCTACATGTATTGTCTCATTTGTCTTCATAACAGTCCTTTGAAATAAATATTAACTCTTTTTTTTTTTTTTTTTTACCAAATGAGAAACATAGCATACAGAATTTTAATGAACTGATCCAAGTGTATAGTGATAATTATTAGGAATTCAGGGCAGAATCTCAATAGTATCTGATCCCAGAGCCAGGTTCTTATTCATCATGATATTGTGCCCAATTAACATAGCTTTCATCCTAAACCAATTACTAAAACCAAAGAAGAGTTCCAAGAGGACTATAGTATTCAGTGAGTAAATGTGATTACTCATTATGATACAGGAAGTAGTGAAAGGGTTTAACACTTCAGATTTATTTTAAAAGTTTTTGAGTAACAATTCTGTTAAGTACTCTCTTGGGGCAAAGGAGTCACTCAGTGACTATCGTATCAGTAGTCTTAGCCTTTGGAGGCCTAAGAGTATAATGAATCATTATTAATGCTATTAATAAAAAGGTTATTTTTCATCTAATTCACTGTTTTTCTTGTCATGAAATGCAATAGTCCCTGTATACTCACTGTTCCCTGTCTTTTGGCTATTATATTTCCTCTAAACCTTCCAAAGTTTTGTATTTGTGTTCCAAACTTCTTTTATCTGTAACTGTATCTATATCTATCTATATCTATATCTATATCTATCTATAATCTATCTATATCTGTATCTATATATGATTTTTTTCTTTCATCACTCTCAATCATGCACTTTGATATATTCTTTTTTATTAAATTTATTGGGGCTGATATTGATTAATAAAAGTATATAGTTTTCAGGTGTATACTTCTGTAACACATCATCTGTATATTGTATTTATTGTGTGTTCACCACCCCAAGTCAGTCTTCTTCCATTACCATTTATTCCCCTTATACCCTCTTCTACCACCTCCCAATCCCTTTCCTTCTAGTAATCACCATACTATTGTTTGTCTATGAGGTTTTTTTTTCACCAAGTCCTGCAACTCTCATCCCCTCTGACAGCTGTCAATCTGCTATCTATCTATGAGTCTGTTTTAATTTTGTTTGTTAGTTTATTTCATTCAATAAATTCCACATGTGAGTGATATCATATGTTAATTATCTTTCTCTGACTGGCTTATTTTACTTAGGATATTTGGAAACAACCCAAGTGTCCATCAGTAGATGAGTGGATAAAAAAGCTGTGGTGTATTTACACAATGGAATACTTCTTGGCTGTAAAAAAGAGAAGGGAATCTCACCCTTTGTGACAGTATGGATAGACCTAAATTTTATTCTTTCCAGCATAATATTCTTAACTTTTGAATTTGAAGCTCAGAAATGATTATTTTTACCAATTGTTTTACCCTAATTTTCTACATTTTCCTAATTACTTCAATCTTTAGCACTGATGTCAGGACTAATATGGGTCCTTATTTTGATGTTACTTAAGTTCTTTTTGTTTGTTTGTTTGTTTGTTTGTTTATTGCTCGTTTTTTTTGTTTTGTTTTTTTGTTTTTGTTTTTGCCTCACATCTCTCTTTAGACTACATGCACAGACAGCAGGAGTCAAGTTTCCTCATTCTTCTGAATGTCAGCACATGTTTCTGTAGATTATCAGTAGCTGTCCAAACTTTGTTTTTGGCTAGTGAACTAATTTTTGAGAGGCTGACATAGCTAAGAAGGCAGGTGGATCAACATTTGTGACAGCAAAACAAAGAGAGAAAAGAGATAGACTGGGTGACAACAATTATGACAAGTAGTGCATCCCAAGATAGCAAAGGGAGAAGGAGTCACAGAAGGAGAACCTGCCATCCAGGTGGAGACAGAATTCAAAAGAGCCATCCATATTCTTAATTGTTTTACCCCTTGACCTCTTCCCAGCCCGAGCTTTAGTTCAATATAGAAGCATATCCTATGAATAACACTGCCTTTCCTTTTTGCTTAAGGCCATCAGCATAAGATAATAGCTGTTTTCCCCATTTGTTTTGAACTTGAAGTTACCATAGAAGACACCTAATTATCTCTACACCTGATGTAGAAACCACTCCTGAAAAAGGGCCATCCATTCTCTGCTTGACCACTTAAACAAGGAGGTCTACTACAATGTTAAATGGGTCTAATTATCCTAGAGCTTCTCCTTATTAGAATACATTTAAGGTAGTCACAAAGACTGATGACTATTGAGATTATACTCTCTAAACATGAATCTTGGCTTTTCACTTTTTAGCTGTACAACCTTGAAGAACTAACATAGGTGTTCTGAGCCTCATTGATTCCATATATAATATGGAATTTTTGAAGATTTTGACAATTAAATGCTATAATGTGTGAAAAATGCTGAGCATGATATCTATACTGCGTATCGGATATTAGTTCTTATTAGTCAATTCAATCTTTTGGTTCTGTTATTATTGTTCTGAGCTGAGAATTACTCCCTGAGCCCTCCTGTACTACAGCTCCAGGAGGGTGATTCAATTCTTAATTTTTGCTTCCTGGAATCCCAGTAGCAAATGCTAAGTTACGAAAATTTCACAAAGTAAGTTACGCAGGGCTAAGAACTGGAATTGTTGTATAACCTTTTTTTTTTTTTTTTCCCACAAACAAACAAGCACACAAATACCTTGACACTGAACACAGAAAACAGGTTCCTGCTGAGGATGCAGTAATGTTTCCCCATGTTGGAAATTTACTCTTTCATAAGACTCAGTTCTCTTTATTTTGGAACTAGGAAAAGTATTATTCTGATAACTAAATCCTTTAACAAAAGAGTTAGATAACTCTCAGAGTGTGGTATTAAAAACTGCTTTTCCAAAATTCAGACAGGAGATTCTTATTCTCTCAGCTTAAATTTCATTTCCCTCAAACTGGTATTAAAACCCCAGGGGGGAAATCACCAAGTCTGCATAAGGCACAGGTATTAACCATGAAAAACTTTGGATTGGGTCAAATTAACCAGTGGTATCTCTAAACTGAACACATATTTTTCCTTAAAAATAAAAATATATGTTTTATTGTTTACTTTGCTATAGTAGAATGTCTTCCATGTATCTTATATCTTTGGACTAAACAGTTTCAATTCTGGGTAAGGTAAAATAATCAAGGTGATTAAATTTATTTTTGATGCATATCTCTACTTTCAATAATTTTTCCCCAATCCATTCCCTTTATCCACTGAAATCACTATGTTAAACAACTGAGTAAGTTATTTATATTTTAATGGAATCTCCCTATAAGTTGCATTGACTTTATAAATGCTTCATGTGTAATAAAAATTATGCATTTTCTGTATATATTTGGTATACAGTATACATATAAGCATATATAAGTTTATATGTAATATATGTTATATTACTATATGTAATAGATTATATATAAAAAGCTTAATTATATGACACATCTATATATATCTCAGGCTTAAATTGAATTTCCCATAACCTTACTCATTTATTTGCCTGGCATAATCATTTCCATTTATTTTTATTTTTTTAAATTTTCAATTGATTTTTAGAGAGAGAGGAAGGGAGAGGGAGAAGAAGA